AATAATATGTAAATTCTCCTGTCAGTATTAATTGGATGAATTTTATGTTTTTACAATTAGTGCTTGACTCCTGCATAGATTGGGGATGTACTTCCCCCCAACCCACACCATCAGTAGCATATGTTCCACACTACTGGGTCATATGTTCTGTGTGCTGTGGTATGTCACTATCTAGCTATCACTGCAATAAATACCTGGGTATAACTGGAGCACCTGTCATCAGTGAGGATTAGACTTGCTGCAGGTCTCTTTAGAAAAAAATAGTCCAAGCATCAATCAAACTTAGCAAATCTAATTGTCAGTGTCTGCATGCATTCAGTTTTTGTTGTTTTATCTAACGGCAGTATCTATCTCATTATTGTGGAGCTGTGTGTGGGTGTTGTGTTGTGTTGTGTTAGGTTGTGTTAGGTTGTGTTAGAGCCTTAGAGGTGGTGATTGATTACACCAGCAATTATTCACAGGGGGAAGTATGATAACACAGTTGGCTGGGTCACATCATCAACTCACTTTGTGACATATCTACACTCTTGTCCCTGGGGGGACCTGGCTGGGTCTTCTGGGCCACATTACATGAAGTCAAACAGATACTACTCAAACACACTTATACTAGACTACCCAGCTCTTCCATGCTCCTACAGATAGTCATGACATGACAGATTCAACTGCAGGATCAGGAAGGACTCGGGTGCTCCTCAACACTTTTTGAGTAACACATTGACAAATTCATTTGAACATGCAGTAAAACCAAGTTCTATGGACAGTCAACTTCTTTGTTGCAATGATTGCAACGTTTCGGTCATAACTTGCTTGATAACAGTGTCAGTACCTACAGAGTGCTCCGAAATGTCGCATTCATTGCAATAAAGACGTTGACTATCCATCTTGGTTTAGTACCCTCCATCTATGCAACTTCTAAAATGCCTCTCAAAGAAGTTATTTGAACATGTTTTGTTGGTACTCCCACCAGGAAGTTCACAATTGTGTAAACGTATACTATTGTAAAATATACTGGTCGTTACCTGTATATGTAGTACTACAGCTGTTCAAACAGTTTTAATTATTTTTTCCATAAACAAAATAAGTTATAAGATGTGACTGTGACTGTGTAACCAGCTGTGAGGGGAGGTGAGGTAGCACAGTGGTTAAAGCACTCACACTGAAGACCCAGGCTCCATTCCCCATGTGTGTACTATGCCTATAAACGGCTCTCTCACTCACTCATCAGATATAACCTGCCATATTGCTGGAATATCGTTGAGTGCAGCGTTACAAAACCAACGAACCAACTAGGTCTGCCATATCAGAGACCATATATAGCTATATACCTGGAATATTGCCGTGTTACAAAACCAGCCAACCAACCAACTGTGACATGCCCCACAAACCCACCTGTAGCTATTTAAAACATATGTGTCCTTTAACACTGGTTGTTCTTTTTCTCATGACAAGGACGTTTTGTATAACAAACGTCTTTTCTCTTCTCCCTTCATTACCTGTGCATGTTTCTGTGCAACACCCCAAGAGCTAAACTCACGTGGTCTAGAAAACATTTCACTGCACAATAAATTTACCTCTTGTTAAAACGTTTTTCTCAAAGCTGACTACCTAACGTGGTATTAGCTCCATTTGCATGTTTCCATCACGTCTTTTTTCAAATCAAACGCAGATGTCATGGTTCATGGTTACCCCAGAATCTTATCAGTTATGAGGGGAGATAACCCAACCCCAGTCGCAAATATACCTCGCGTAGCTATAGAGAAGTGATGCTACAGCACCATCCCGCTATTCCCCACCCCTTCCACTGCCTGATGAAACTATCTTACATCTGTCCACGACAACTGACGTCCTTGGCGCAACCTAATATCGCCGAGTCGAACAGCTGGGACGGTGACAGCGGCAGGTGTTGGTGTCACTTGGCTGTGGATGAACACAGCGATAGAACATCCCTGGCCTACCCTCATCAGTGGGATATAAAACCACCAGCCACACAACAGGGATGCTCTCCATTACAAACCGGCATCCGATTTCCAAGAATATCTGAATCGTCATTAAATCATCTCCGGTTAAAGATATATTTTCAGTCGTGTCGGATATGACATTGGATGACACATGTTTAAATACAGGTTACCGTCCCTGCGATGTACGTGCTCCGACAACAGGGTGTTTGTGGAGACGGTGGGTGCTGGGAGCTCACATTCCGTGTAGCACTGACTGAAGATAGTACATCGGGCGTGACGCGCACCTGTCACAGAACACACTCATGTTTGTGGAATGTTGGGGCCTTTGATGAGTGGAACTGAAGTACCCTGCTTACCCTTTTCAGTAACGTTTGTGGAAGTGCATGTGTTCATTTAGATAAGCGATTTATAGGATTCTTCGTCTACCTCAACGTCTACAGCTAACGTCTACGTCAACTACAGTGGCACATGTGGTGGTATAAATCAGACGCTGTTTAGTCCCCGTGAAAACTGATCCCTGACAGTTATATGGTATATAAATCTGAGAGCGTGACCCTTGGCCCCATGTTCACCATGTTAATAACCCCGACGTCCTCGGTACCTGTCAGGTGAGACGTACATGACCTGCTGCTGACAACGTCACATGGACACTCGATACCTCACTTGACTAGTTCCTGCACAGCACCTACACGTCATATTTAAGCAGCAATATCAAAATAGCTTTGTGGCAATTTAGAGCCCGCAGTATTAATACATACAGCATCTGTATTCTTTCACTTTTGGTAGCTATCGTAGTACTTGCATGATAATGGAACCATGTTCTGTACCGAAAGTCCTCATCAGCATTGTATAAATCGTATATTGTACTACACAAACTGAAATATCCCACATGTGACCACCATGTTGAAAACAATATGCAAACAGTCTCACAGACAGATACGGTATGTCTCATAGTTTTCACCATGGCCCGCAAACACTGGTAAAGTATATGGCTAGCCTGTTTCAATTACCTTTATTGGGTTATTTTAAGCTGAATGTAGATATTCTTGCAGGACAACCACAGTATGTCAGTATGCATTACTTGCAAGATCTAAGGCCACGAACAGTATGCATAAGTTGCAGTCACTGTGGCCACCAATAAACACAGTATGTCAGTATGAGCTACATACGAGTACTGTAGCCACAGGTAGACATGTCTGCTACTCGACTAAATCATACGAGTTTTGAGCTTGATTCAGTGTTAATTATAGTTTCAAGGATCAGGGACAAAGACTGGATAGTTATCGATGAAGTCGACACTGAAACTAAATATGACAATATTCAACAGTTGTATGATCCCCAAGGAGTTGAGATTAATAATACGCTGTGCCGTTTGAGTTCGACATCAATGATCGAGGGAAAATCAAAGCTATACAAATGTTAGAATAATAATAATATACCAGACACGTGGCCACGAAGACATACAAACTCGGGTGCTCACACAAGGGCCATGCACGGGAATGTAGTATAGCACATAAACTGCCCCAGGTGTATACAGGACTGACATCGTATATATACATTAACGTGTGAAACAATCCTCCCAGGACTGAGAGTGTGAATGTTGTTTCATGCCGCAGCCAGCACAATCCCAGTGGCGAGATGTAAGTAGTGACGTACCGACCAGACAACCAGTCACTGAAGGTATGATCCACGCTATCGGAACGCGGTGTCGGCCAAACAATCACCAAACCACCCGGTGTTTTAGTGGACGAGAACACGGGCTTTTGGTACAGTATGTGACAGGAGGGAATCTAGCTGTGATTAGTAATATGTACACCGAGTTTAATTATGTTCACGAAAAATAAGCTTTCAACCTGTTTCTTATGTATAAACAGAGACCATATGGTCTCTGGTATAAATGAATGGTCAAACATTTAGTAAATTGTCCGGTGAAGCGCTGACCAAGGTATATGACAGTGGTGGGCCTCCCTGTACGATATCGCGTGGAGGTTGTCATGCAGGCTTGTTGTGACGCCCGTCTGTCAACGGTCTGGAGCTATCAGCGGACTGGGGCTGTCAACGGACGGGAGCTATGAAAGAATGCATTATCTCGTACGTCGCTAATTAAAGTGTCCTCGTTTTTCCCACGCAGAGAACCCGAGCCAAAATAGCCCTACTCCACAGTGGCCTGCTTTCAAACGCCCAGCACCGCGTTCAAATTGACAGACCACCACCAAGTGTATGCACACATTTGGACGAGTTCCTACACATGTGTTCTGCATACTCAAAAACTTGACCCCAGCAATCACAGGTCACTGGTAATATGGACCAATCAGCAAATCGGAACTCAAAGCAATTGGCCACTTCCCCCAGCGAACGGTAGCAGGTAGCTATTAAAGCGATATTTGTTATTGAAACCATACTTGTACCCCCGGAGAGTAATGTTCTTTATAAGTTCCACCTGCAATAAATGTTTTGATTCATGCACCATACACACAATACTTCGTGTATGTATAGGCTATGTGTATAGCACACAATGAACAATGTTTCTGCATGTCCAGTTTATATACAGATGTGTATTTCTGGATTGTATTGTACATGTAAACTTTATTCATTTGTTAAACAACACTTTTTAAAGACACTTTATAGATGACAACCTCTTTATTGTATTATGTAAAAGCCTATTGTTTTCACTGTTCCTAAACAACTGCTATGGCAAGGAAACAGATAACCCTTTTTCTGCCTTATGGGGAAATTGTGACGCGCCTTATAGTCTTCTTATTTGCATTAAGGAAAATATCTCTCAACTTATGAAATCATATCAATAATATTCATATTCTTGCGCATATTATTAACTAAAGGTTACCTTAACTTAGAAACCGTCCTGTCACACAATTCCGAAAAACAACAAATCCATGCAGGGTCCAAGATGACCCTTGTCAGCTGATCTGCAAGCTAATCCTCTGTAAGGACTCATTCACGACAGAGGCGGACGAACACTACCAGCTAATAAACAATCAAAATTCATTTGTGAATAGAATATGGGTTCTAACGTCAACTTACCTCTGTATCTGTTGTGTTGACAGACGCAGGGGGATCATTCTCCCCATCAGAACCGCGACCCTGCCCTTCCTCCGCCATGATCGTCCGTCAGTGTCGACTCAGTCTGAAACAAGTGACGCACATTGAATTGCTGCAGCAGCAGACAGCGCACATCCCAGGTCGGGGCTACAGGGGGATGAGTCCTTTCCTTCCTATTAGAACAATGCTGGCTATATTAAACACTCACTGGCTGGCCAAGCGTTAACACAGAGTCTCGTCAAAACACATGAAAAGTACTCCCGTAATGCCCGCCTAATTTTAAGATCTCAAAAAGTCCGCGAAAGATTTGCTCAGATTTACACAGAAATATTGATCGGAATCTGTATTTACCAGCGACGTGACCGTGTAGTTCGGGGGTCAGCCTGCTGCAGTCGGATTCAGACGCCTTGCCTTGGGCCTTAGTCAGAGCCTCGAACTAACGAAGCCTCACAGCATCCCCACATCCAACAAAGATTATTGAATACATTCATTGAAATTATTCTTCTGAGAACTCTCTATAACCTTTGCAAATCTCCGAATGCGTTTAATGCCTCATTCATACACTCAGTAAACATTAATGGTAGAATGTTTGGAAAAGATTTGCAGTGAATTCAAAACGCCAAAAACCAACCGTTCATTGAAGTGGAACTGGAATAAATTGAAGTATGTTTTAAATCTTCCTGCTTGAGAGTTCTCGGTTGAAGTGTTCTATTTGTAGAAACGTATAGTTAAGGGACTATGCTTACGTTCTGTATGAATAGCCGCTTTCACTTGTCCTACAGTAACAATGTACCTGGTGGCCACAAACCATTGGCAGTAATTACGTTTGCTCAAATACATTTTTTAAATCGAACCTGGGTCTTGTATGTGTCAATGACTTTACTGGCCAGCCTTTTCTGATAAGTAAAGATGAAGTACTCTGCTGAGATTAGTAACATCCAAGGAACATTAAAGTTTATGTGTTGCTATTACAAATACCCTAATCTGCTATGTAAGACCCTGAAACAATTATATCCCAGAAAGACCATGCAAGTCTAGAATATGTGGCAAGTCTAGATTTCGATAGTTTGAGGAAATGAAGAAAGTCTCCTTTTCATTTTTTTAATTTTTTTTATTATGAACTGTTTTATGTGTAAAATATGTTCACTGCAGACACTAGTTGTTAGTCTACAAACACCCATGGATAACTATTAAACTGATGGCTGTTTTCCTTAGTAGTCACACACCGGGAACCACTGTCTAATTCAGGAAGAAAACGAACGATGAGGAAACGAATAATAATAAGAAGAGCCCCATCCTCCCCACACAACACTCACACGCAGCCATTTAACTCATACCTATATAACACGATTGTATATTTGCGCTTATCTCCCTACCCGCTTCTCTCCACACACAAAGACACAGCGCTGTAGGAACCGTTAAGAATAGGTTATTAGGATAAAAACCCATCAGAACCGTTTAAAATAATTTCAGTTTCATTTGTATATTTCTCGAATCGTAATACCAAATTGATCTGATTGGTTCATCGATAACACTAAGCAGTATGGGGCAAAGCATTTATTCTGCACTGGTAATACTGACAAATTCATACGATCACTGGGTTCGAATCTAGGCCCTTTCCAGATAGAGGTTTCAGCTCTACGACTATGTTGTTGGTTGTTGTTTAACGCCACACTCAGCAGTATTCCTGCTGCATGGCGACGGTCTGTTCATAATCGAGTTTGGACCAGACAATCCAGTGATCAACATCATGAGCATCGATCTACGCAGCTTGGATAGGATGACATGTGTCAACCAAGTCAGCGAGCCTGACCACCCGATCCCGTTTGTCGCCTCTTACGACAAGCATGGGTTACTGAAGATCAATATTCTAACCCGGAACTTCATGGGTCCTACCACTATGAAACTCTATACTTTGTGCAAACTAGGTGTTATGAAACCGCGATAAGACTAGAATTATAAGAAAAATGGGCGTAATTATAAACAGACTGACATATTCGTTGACGTTGCGGTGCCCCTGTCATAAAGACACCACACGGATAATATATCTACATTTGTAGTATCTGATAACATCTAGTAATATATCTAATTCCACTGACTGAATGCCGTGAAGGTGACTAGCAGTTCTGCAGGTTGTTACACACAGATGGGTTTGATTCTCTCACGAAGTTGTTTAAATCCTCCGATGAGGAATTGTATAACTTGACAGAAACTAAGCAGAAACGAACAAGTTATGTCCAGATGGAAACGTTTCGATACTTACCTTACTCACAGACTGAGGTGCAAAACCTGACCTCGGGGGTTGAGTTGAAACAAAGACACCCTCCACGCCCTCAGCACTAAGCCGCGGCGAGGGGTACGATATGTTCACTTGAATGTCCGTGGGGCGCCTGGAGCTGTATTCAGCTTCCGGTTGACAATGATATTTTATGCCATGTTTCTCTGACTGCTTGTATTCGTATACATGCATAAAGCTACGATGTGTAGGGATAACAGATCACATAACCCATTGTCATTTGCCCAGCGGTGGTCGCTTCTGGATGCCCCTAATGTCCCCTGGTGTTTATGAAATCCTGAGAAATATCATGGGAATACTTCCTCAAATGCAACACGAGAAAAACAGACAAGGACACATGCAAGACACACGGAAATAAAAAGTGTTTGAAAGTTTCGTTTGCAAACCACAGCCTCCAAGACCAGCCTCGCGTGATCAGCACGCAGCAGTGACAGATCCTGTTTGTGGTCAACACGGTCCACACACCCACTTAACTGTCACCAAATATTAACCTGCATGTATGTGTCACCATTAGTCAGATTTCCGCACATATTTATGAAAACAGTGTTCTATTATATTGCAATATATTATTTCCGTGTTGAACAAAAATTACAAAAAATAGCACAAGGCTCAATTTATGAATCATACTTGAGACCTTCGGCCTTCCTCAGTTCCTATATCCTGCTTAACATTGTCACCATGTACTATGTCAGACTAGATCCTGCATAACACTGTCACCGTGTACTACATCAGACTAGATCCTGCATAACACTGTCACCATGTACTACATCAGACTAGATCCTGCATAACACTGTCACCATGTACTACATCAGACCAGACCCTGTATAACACTGTCACCATGTACTACATCAGACTAGACCCTGCATAACACTGTCATGTACTACATCAGACTAGACCCTGTATAACACTGTCACCATGTACTACATCAGACTAGATCCTGTATAACACTGTCACCATGTACTACATCAGACCAGACCCTGTATAACACTGTCACCATGTACTACATCAGACTAGATCCTGCATAACACTGTCACCATGTACTACATCAGACTAGACCCTGTATAACACTGTCACCATGTACTACATCAGACTAGACCCTGTATAACACTGTCACCATGTACTACATCAGACTAGACCCTGTATAACACTGTCACCATGTACTACATCAGACTAGACCCTGTATAACACTGTCACCATGTACTACATCAGACTAGACCCTGTATAACACTGTCACCATGTACTACATCAGACTAGACCCTGTATAACACTGTCACCATGTACTACATCAGACTAGATCCTGTATAACACTGTCACCATGTACTACATCAGACTAGACCCTGCATAACACTGTCATCATGTACTACATCAGACTAGACCCTGTATAACACTGTCACCATGTACTACATCAGACTAGACCCTGTATAACACTGTCATCATGTACTACATCAGACTAGATCCTGTATAACACTGTCACCATGTACTACATCAGACTAGACCCTGTATAACACTGTCACCATGTACTACATCAGACTAGACCCCTCCTGTATAACACTGTCACCATGTACTACATCAGACTAGACCCTCCCTGTATAACACTGTCACCATGTACTACATCAGACTAGATCCTGCATAACACTGTCATCATGTACTACATCAGACTAGACCCTGTATAACTATAACACTGTCATCATGTACTACATCAGACTAGACCCTGTATAACACTGTCACCATGTACTACATCAGACTAGACCCTGTATAACACTGTCATCATGTACTACATCAGACTAGACCCTGTATAACACTGTCACCATGTACTACATCAGACTAGACCCTGTATAACACTGTCACCATGTACTACATCAGACTAGACCCTCCCTGTATAACACTGTCACCATGTACTACATCAGACTAGACCCTCCCTGTATAACACTGTCACCATGTACTACATCAGACTAGACCCTGTATAACACTGTCACCATGTACTACATCAGACCAGACCCTGTATAACACTGTCACCATGTACTACATCAGACTAGACCCTGTATAACACTGTCACCATGTACTACATCAGACTAGATCCTGTATAACACTGTCACCATGTACTACATCAGACTAGACCCTGTATAACACTGTCACCGTGTACTACATCAGACTAGACCCTGCATAACACTGTCACCATGTACTACATCAGACTAGACCCTGTATAACACTGTCACCATGTACTACATCAGACTAGACCCTGTATAACACTGTCACCATGTACTACATCAGACTAGACCCTCCCTGTATAACACTGTCACCATGTACTACATCAGACTAGACCCTGTATAACACTGTCACCATGTACTACATCAGACTAGACCCTGCATAACACTGTCACCATGTACTACATCAGACTAGACCCTGCATAACACTGTCACCATGTACTACATCAGACTAGACCCTGTATAACACTGTCACCGTGTACTACATCAGACTAGACCCTGTATAACACTGTCACCATGTACTACATCAGACTAGACCCTGTATAACACTGTCACCGTGTACTACATCAGACCAGACCCTGCATAACACTGTCACCATGTACTACATCAGACTAGACCCTGTATAACACTGTCACCATGTACTACATCAGACTAGACCCTGTATAACACTGTCACCATGTACTACATCAGACTAGACCCTGTATAACACTGTCACCATGTACTACATCAGTCTAAATCGTCAGATGTTTCTGTTACATTGTCAGGTGGATGTGTTTCATTGTCTGATGAATATGTTTCATTTTCAGATAAATGTTTCATTGCGAAATGTTGATGAATGTGATTGCAATGTGATCTCAAATTGATGCAAAAGTTAAAATGAAACCAACCCATGCAGTTGGGAACTGTAAATGCTGTAATGTATACATAACCTACTGAGTGCAGAAATTACAGCCGTTTAGTTGCGACAATTTACAGGGAGGGTAGACGCGTAGACTACAACCCCCATCCTACCCCAACCCCACACCGACACACGGTCACCTGTACATGAGCAGCTCCAGAAGCGGGTATGATTCGTGTATGTATAGCGGGTGGCCTAGTTTGCGGGGGTGCTATGCTGAGTTCCATCTCTTGTGTCAGCCAGGATTCGCTTATTTTGGGTTCGACTCAAGGATCTGCGCGATTATGTTTCTCTTGTAAGTAAATACACTGGCGTGACGCATATCCCTTTGTCATTCAGGACAATGACAGTTTAAAGTAACCCAATATGTATCTGATTGCGGCGTCAAACAACAGTCACCCATTACATAAAACAAAATCGGTAGTTGTAATAACGTATTGTACCACATATATTTATTTCGTGTTCGGAAAAGCATTTACATAAAATATACTTTCTGATGCTTTCACGAGTCAATCAATCTACTTTGGGGAGCTGTTTTTGTCGCTACTCACTGTATCTACACACATTGTTGGGCCAAAACAGGATGCAAATATTCTAATTTTATTCCATATTTGTAAATAATCTGGCCGTAAACTAAGTACAAAACACATCTGAAAGTGAAGGAAAACTGCGATATGGTATTCAGGACAGGTGCTCCTCAGGCTGGAGATGTAGGGCAGATACAGCAGGTGCGAGGTGATGTTCTAGATCTGTCTCCGCACCTCCTTACTGACGACAGTGATGTGGACATAGCAGATCTACAGAACCTACGTTGACCAGGCGGCCTTTATCTTCCTGACCCTCACCTTCAAGCGTCGCCACCTAGTATACTTCTATGTCCTGGATTACTGCAGACCCACTAATTGTACGTGACAGACTGTCGCGGTGATGTCCCAGTGTGTGTCACGTACCTCCATAAATAATTCCATGATTCGGACGACATGATGATAACTGCTTCACACAGCTGTTTCCTTCTCTCTATGTTTGCACATTGCGTGCACATTGCGTGCACATTGCGTTCCTTGCTGCAGCATTGAATGGTGGTTGGTTGGTTGGTTGTTTTACGCCGCACTCACCAATATTCCAGCTACATGGCGGCGGTCTGTGAATACTCGAGTCTGGACCAGACAATCCGTTGATCAACAGCATGAGCATCGATCAACGCAATTGGGATGCGATGACATGTGCCAACCAATCAACATTGAATGGGAAACCGTTAATTGTTGCTACAATTGTAAGTCTGACATGAATGCTTGTGGTCGTTTTTGACAAATTGTGTGTACATTGAAAACGTCTTGTCTTGCTAACCGAACTGCAAGTCTGGCGGAAGCCGTGCGACCTGAACTTTGCTTTCAAATATGAATTGAATATTTTTGTTATTCGCTACTGGATCAAGCTTGGGTCTCGACCACAACGCGGTTTTAGGAGTAAGACTATTCTTAAGCATATCAGTGAACAACGTTTGACGCGCGGCAAGGAAGTACATATATTTTAACATTACAAAACGCAATATGATGTTACCAGTAATCTGACATGGTCCCTATGTTACCGCTAGTTGAATATGATGCTGTTTAGCATAGTGGTCAGCGTTCCCACTAGTTCGAATCTCCATGTTTTGATAGATTTCGTCTATGCAAGCATACCCAGCATACCATTTGACAATAGAGATGTAACGAAAATAGTGTAATGATGTCAAGCGTAGAATACACGGAGAATAAATCGAGTTTAATGCGGTGTAGAAAGTTTACCCCCGTCTAAACATTTGAGCACATTCACTGGTAGATGCGGTTAGTGGGTCAGAAAACTGTCGTCAACTGTACAATGACATAGCACAATTGCTTGTTTATGAACGGTTATGGCGGTTCCGTGTAATCAATAGAGACCCAGTCACTGAGCGCTCCCCGTGTCCATGCAGTCTGTGTGTACACTCAATCATGCAGGGCTTTGAGGATATGTTACATCGTTATTTATCCAAGATATTATCTCTTTGTAACTCTTCCATTTGATGTTAGAGACGTATTTAAGTTATATAAAGCCTCGTGTTTATGAACCCTTGTCTGTCTGAAGCAGCAAGAGTTTTGATGACAGTCTCCAGTGAAGAAACCATCAATTTCTGATAGAGAGTGTGTACTCTGTTGAACTTACGTAAACATGGACGCTGAATTAAACATAATAATTGTATGTATGGCTCTGAAGTGATTGATATCTAAAGTTCGGTCGTACAGCACATGAGTAGGCTGAACCAATAACGGATATTTTATGTCATTGTTCAGTGTGTTCTTAAGTCAACCAACTTTATATACTTTTAACAGCCACTTCA